GCATGAAGAATTGTCTATGACATGTATAGTTTTGATAGATGAAAGTTGATTAGTACGAGAATTGTATTTTGAATTTTTTTTGGACCATGTATTCAGTATTGGTCAAATTTTTGTACTAAGAGACCTATGTGGTATATGAACATGTATTTCTTATGTATGAGGTATATGTTTCATGCAATGTGTGGAATGGGGTGTTATAGAAAGTGGTATCAGAACCTGAGTTTAAGGAATTTAGGTATTTAACAGCATGATAACTAAACTTAAACTGTTTTATTGCATGTTAAGGGTCCCGGACATAGTTAGTACCATTGGAAATAAATATGATGAGTTGAAAGAACAGTCTGTAAGATAAATTTTAATTACATATGGCAAATGTAATTATGAATTTACAGGTACATATCTGAACTTGAATACTTCATTATATTTGGGAATGTGAATATGTGATTATTAACACTAAAATCTGCAGATGTCTAGCCGAACACGAAGATATGAAAGAATAGCCCATCCAGAGTTTGAGAAAAGAGAGGAATCACCTGCTAATCTTCCGACAAGCACTTCTGGAAATAGGGGTCGGGGAGGACCCAGGAGACGAGGCAGATGGAGAAGTCAGTCACAAGGAAGAGGTCGGACTGAAGTACATTATGAGCATGAAGAATCCCATTCTGGGAATGTTCAGGAAAGATCAGTGCCACACCCAGAGTATGTAACCAGAGATATGCAGACGGAGGAAATGGGGAAGTTGCGAGAAATTTTAACGTCTATTATGGGAATTCCGGCTAGAGTGGAAATAGAAAGAGTGGAAGTTCATCCCTTTATTCCGGTTACTCATAACAAAGAAGGAGATATCAAGATGTTTTTGGCATGCAAACCTCCAACTTTCTCTGGAGAGAGGGATCCAGTAAAAGCCATGTGCTGGATCAAGGAAATTGAATCTGTGTTCAACACCATCCGGTGTCCGGAAATAGATAAAGTTCGATTTGTTGTATCAGTGTTAAAATCAAATGCTCTGTTTTGGTGGGAAGTTGAATCGTTGGCCAGAACATATGTCTTATAGACATTATCCTGGACAGAATTTGTGAATCGATTTAAGGATCAGTTCTGCCCTAAGATTGTTGTACGGCAAATGGAAGAAGATTTTCTGAAGTTGAAACAGGGAAATGGAACGGTTCGGGAGTATACTGAGAAATTCATTGAAAACTCTCGATTTGCCCAACATTATATTTCATCAGAATCCAGGAAGGTAGAAAGGTATATCTGGGGATTGAAACCTTCAATTCGTGAATTCGTAATTGCTATGAATCCCAACACCTTTTCACTAACTGTGGATGCGGCCAAAGTAACAGAACAGAACAAAATTGACAAGCAGAAGGAAAGGTTGTGTAGAAGAGAAGATGGGAAGGGCCTTCATCTAACTTCCGAGGGCCAAAAGTAGTAAGATATGATAATAGAGCTGAACAAAAGGGCAGTGAGAAAGTCTGTTCACAATGCCGACAGGTTCATCATGGTGAATGTAAGATGGACCCAAGGAAGTGTTATAAGTGCGGTGAAGTGGGCCATATGTCAAGGAGTTGCCCAGCCAACCGAAGGTGTTTCAATTGCAATTCCCCGGATCATATACGACCAAACTGTACGTGTTGAGAACTCCATAATTGACAATGAGGAGTAATGTGTCAGGTACTCGGGGAAGACCTACTGTAACAAGAGGAGAACAAGGAGGGGCACGAGGACGGTCCTTCCAAATGACAAAGAATGAGGCAGAAACATCACCAGATGTAGTAACAGGTACCTTCCT